CGGTCTTACATTTTTGGTTTTTAATCCATTTTGAGTTTATTTTTGCACACGATGGTAAAGAATGTTCTGATTTCATTTTTTTACATGTAGCTGTCCAGTTTTTCCAGTGCCACTTATTAAAGAGAGTGTCTTTTCTCCGTTTCATCTTATTGCTTCCTTTGTTGTAAATTAATTGACCATACATGCATGGGTTTATTTCTAGACTCTATCCTGTTCCATTGCTCTATGTGTCTATTTTTGTGCTAGTATCATACTTTTTTGACTACTGTATCTCTGTACTATAGTCTGAAGCTAGAGTGGAGAAGGGCGTTGCAACCCACTTCAGTATTCTTGCCTGGAGAATCCCGTGGACAGAGAAGCCAGCGGGGCTACACGTCCATAAGGTTGCACAGAGTGAACACTACTGAAGTGACTTCGCAGGCCTGCCCACCGTGAAGTCAGGGAGTATGAGTCCTCTGGCTCCGCTCTTTCTCAAGTTGGTTTTGTCTGTTCAGGGTCTTTTCTGTTCCCATACAAATTTTAAAATTATTTGTTCTAGTTCTGTGAAGATGTCATTGGTATTTTGATAAAGATTGCACTGAATCTGTAGATTGCCTTTGGTAATATGAAGTGTACCCAGGATTTTGAAGACTTAGTACAAAGAAAAGAATGCAAAATGTTTCATCAATAATTTTATATTGATTGCAAGTTGAAATAATAATATAGTGATACATATAACTGTATAATGGTTAAATAAAATATATCATTAAAGTTTATTTCATCTCCTCTTTTTACTATTCTTTTAATGCTGTTGTTGTTGTTTAGTTGCTAAGTCATGTCTGACTCTTTTGTGATCCCATGGACTATAGCCTGCCAGGCTCCTCTGTCCGTGGGATTTCCCAGGCAAAGATACTGGAGTGACTTGCCATTTCCTTCTCCAGGGGACCTTCCCGCCCCAGAGATCAAACCTGCATCTCCTGCACTGGTAGGAGGATTCTTTACCACTGAGCCATCAGGGAAGGCCCCTTTTAATACTAGAAAATTTTCAGTTACACATGTGGCTTGCATTCTATTTCTGTCTGACTGTGCTTTGCTGGAGCATCTATCTCTGTTCTTCAGGCCTCCACGATGGAAGTCCTAGAGCCTTCCTTGGCGGCTCTTCTGAGTCTTTTGTCATGCTGGCACTTCACTTACTCTCCACATCTAATCTTTTTCTCTCATGCTTCAGTTTGAAGACTTCTGTTTCAAGTAGTTGACTGTCTATCTCCTTATGAAATCCCTACTTGAAAAATGTAAAGCATCTCTTCATATTCAGTTATAAGCTCAATAGCCCCATTATTTTTCACCTTTTCACTTTCTACCTCTTCCAACTCTGATAATTTTTTAAAATTTTATTTTATTGAGAGGTAGTTGATTTACAATGTTGTGTTAATTTCTGCTGTACAACAGAGTGGTTCAGTTTTACCTACATGTACATTCTTTTTTCATATTCTTTTCCATATGGGTTGTCACAGGATATTGAATATAGTTTCCTGTGCTATACAGTAGGATCTTGTTGTTTATCCATTCCATATATAAAAGTTGTATCTGCTAATCCAAAACTCTCAATCCACCCTTCTCCTCACCCTTGGCAACTCGAAGTCTGTTCTCTGAATCTGTTTCTGTTTTGTATGTAAGTTCATTTGTGTCATATTTTAGACTCCACGTATAAGTGATATCATATGGTATTTACCTTTCACTTAGTATCACAATCTCTGAATCCATCCATGTTGCTGCAAATGGCATTATTTCATTCTTTTTTATGGCTGAGTAGTATTCTATTGTGTATTTGTACCACATCTTTAATTTTTTCCATTCATCATTTGATGGACATGTAGGTTGTTTCCATGTCTTGGCTATTGTGAATAGTGCTGCTATGCATAAGGGTACACGTATTTTTTTGGAATTATAGTTTTGTACAAGCATATGCCCAGGAGTAGGATTGCTCGGTCATGTGACAACTCTTATTTTCAGTTTTTTGAGAAATCCCCATACTCTTTCCCAGGAAGGCTGCACCAACTTACATTCCCACCAACAGTATAGGAAGGTTCCCTCTTCTCCACACCTTCTCCAGCATTTGTTATTTGTAGACTTTTTTAATGATGGCATTTCTCCTGGGGGAGGTGGTACCTCATTGTAGTTTTGATTTGCATTTCTCTCATAATTAGTGATGTTGAGCATCTTTTCAAGTGCCTGTTGTTCTGCTATGTGTCTTCTTTGAAGAAATGTCTATTTAGGTCTTCTCTCCATTTTTAATTGGTTTGTTTGTTTTTTGTTATTGGGTTGTATGAGCTGCTTGTGTATTTTGGAAATTAAGCCCTTGTCAGTCACATCATTTGCAAATATTTCTCCCAGTCCGTTGGTTGTCTTTTTGTTTTGTTTATGGTTTCCTTTGCTGTACAAAAGCCTGTAAGTTTGATTAGGTCCCATTTGTCTATTTTTGCTTTTACTCTATTGCCTTGGGAGACTAACCTAATAAAACACTGGATGATTTATGTCAGAGAATGTTTAGTCTGTATTCTCTTCTACGAGTTTTATGTTATCTTGCCTTATGTTTAAGTCTTTAAGCCATTTTGAGTATATTTTTGTGTATGGTAAGAGGGCATGTTCTAACTTCATTGATTTACATGCAGCTGTCCAACTTCCCCAACACCACTTGCTGAAGAGATTGTCTTTTCTCCATTGTATATTCTTGCCTCGTTTGTCGAAGATTAATTGACCGTAGGTGTGTGGGTTTATTTCTGAGGTCTCTATTCTGGTCCATTGATCCATATGTCTGTTTTTGTGCCAATACCATGCTGTCTTGATTACTGTAGCTTTGTATCAATTCTGATAATGGCCTTTCCTGGATCATCTCTGGCCTCTATTATTTTTAAAACTTGTTATCGGAAACCACCCAACATGACTCTAACGTGGGCCTGACTAAGGCAGAGACAAATAGAAGGAATTATTTCTATCATCAAGTACTTGACTGTGGTCTTTTTGTTACATTACCTCATTTAATCCTGTAACACAAGGAGGGGCAGGTGCTGTTGGTAGCACTCTTGACTGATGAGGGAGCTGAGGCTCAGAGAGGTTGAGGAACTTATCAAAGTTCCATTGCTGATCAAGTGGCAGAGCTGGGATTTGTGTGCCTGACTCTGAAGCCCACATTCTTTTATGACATACCATGCCTTCCTCCCTTGATACTGTTCTTTGAATATATCCCTTCGTCTTGAGAGGCCTTATCATTCGCAGCTGGTGCATTTGTAGCTCATGGTCAACACTGATTCTTGAGCTTGGTCTGATGTGTTTGTGCCTCACTAGAATTATGAAGCCCTTCTGCTAAATTCCAGAAATGCCTTTTCAACCTTGCAGATACTTTGTGAAAGCTCTAGCCCTTATACAGTCATCAGTGGGCCAGAGTTCGGGTCTTTAGGTATTAGGAATGAATTTTCTGGCAGGGAGCTTTCTTTCCTCTCATCCCAGGTCCCACGGATAACTATCAGTCTGCAGAACAAACTACTTCTCAAAGGCAAAGTGTACTGTTAATCCATGTTTGTGTGTGTATGTGTTCAGTTGTGTCCAACTCTTTGCAACCCCATGGACTGTAGCCCGCCAGGCTCCTCTGTCCATGGGATTTTTTCCAGGCAAGAATCCTGGAGTGGTTTGCCATTTCCTTCCCCAGGGGATCTTCCTGACCCAAGGATCTAACCCATGTCTCTTGCATCTCCTGCATTGGCTGGCAGGTTCTTAGCACTGGTACCACCTGGGAAACCCCTGTTTAGTTACTCCATGTTACTAACATTACCATTAGGTAATCCATGTTTACCTAAAGGCAAGAAGTTTATGTTTTGAGTAGTTAGGAATAAGAGGAATTCCTTTTAAGAGTGTTGAAAACATTCTCATGGATGAACCTTGAAGAGATTATGCTCAGTGCAATATTCTTGTCATAAAAGGGCAAATACTGTTGGGTTGGTCAAAAAGTTCATTTGGGTTTTTCCATAAGATCTTAAGAAATATCTGAATGAACTTTTTGGCCAACCCAATTTACAATTCCACTTATATGAGGTAACTAGAGTAGTCAGATATATAGAGACAGAAAGTAGAATAATGGTCATCAGGGGTTGTGGGTATGGAGAATGAGGAGTTAGTGGCTCATGGATATGGAGTTTCAATTTGGGAAGACAAAAAAGATCTGGATGTAGATAGTGGTGATGGCTGTACCACAGTGTAAATGTGCTTAATGCCACAGAACTGTACACTTAAAATGGTTACAATGGTAAACATTAAGTATATTTTAAAAGTATATTTTACCATAATAAAGATAACCAAACAGATCTTCTATACTTAAAGAAAAATAGCTTGCTTAGCATGTGTGATCAGAGATGCCACTGGACCCATCTTGGGTCCATTGTTGATTCTAGCTTTGAGATCACAGTCGATTTCTGGGTCAGCTTCTCATGAGGAAGGTGCAGGCTTCACCCACATGAGGGGCATCTTTCTTTTCCTGATAGATTTCTCCATCTAGGAGGTTTTACCCACTTCACACAAATGCCCTTGCCAGGGCTCCAGCCACTTTCCAGGGAAGGGAAAGCAGCCTTGCCTTCAAGGACTCTACAATATGGACCCTTAATTATACTCATTTTTCCATGGAGATTTTCTTATTCCTTATTCCCCTATCTGAGGGTATGCCTAGACTTTCCTAAGAAATAAAATAGCTGTAAATTGTATTCATTTGTACCAAAGTGGTCATAGCCTCTTTGGAGTTAGATTTAGATTGAGCACTCAGACATCTCAGAGTGTTAAGTGTTTCACTGAAGTCAGTAACCCCTTGACAACCTCAGGTCAGTTCTCCACTTGAGGCAGAGGCTGTTTTGAGAAAATTTAGTCGGGGTACCTAGATTGAGACTCCAGTCCCCAGGAATTCTCTTCATACAGTGTGGCGCTTGGTGCCATGGAAAGTGTATTTGCTTATTTGCCCTGCCTATTTTCCTTTTCAGGAATCATTAACCAATGGCAACAGGAATCCAAGGATAAAGTGATTTCCCTCCTGTTAACTCACCTGCCTTTGCTGAAGCCAGGAAACCTCGACGCAAAAGTAGAGTATATGAAACTGCTGCCCAAAATCCTGGCACACTCCATTGAACACAACCAGCACATCGAGGAGAGCAGGCAGCTGCTGTCCTATGCTTTGATCCATCCGGCCACTTCATTGGAAGACCGCAGTGCTTTGGCCATGTGGCTGAACCACTTGGAGGACCGCACATCGACCAGCTTTGGCGGCCAGAACCGAGGCCGCTCGGACTCTGTGGATTATGGGCAGACGCACTACTATCACCAAAGACAGAACTCCGATGACAAGCTTAATGGGTGGCAGAACTCTCGGGATTCTGGGATTTGCATCAACGCGTCCAACTGGCAGGACAAAAGTCTGGGGTGTGAGAACGGCCACGTGCCCCTCTACTCATCTTCATCCGTCCCCACCACAATCAATACGATCGGAACCAGCACGAGTACAAGTAAGTTCCCGGAAGCCCTTTAGTGCAGCCTGGTTTGGTGACTTGCTGTGTGTGGCTGTCCTGCTGGGAATGTCTGCTCTGGGCACCCCGTAACCCTGGGAGAGAAGGGCTGATTGGAATTGGCTGCGGGAAAGGGCTCTTTGGACCCCGTGTTTGTTGTTCTTTCGACTCCTGAAAGAGAAAAATCCTGGGCAGGTAAAAATGATTGATGGTTTAAATTTGGGTTACAAATAGACCAAAAAGAAAAAAAAAACTAAATACAAGATGAAATGGTGAAAGAAGGAAACTTCCGCTTTCCACAAAGAGAAATGCCTTCACCCAGTACCTTTTACCTGGGGTTTTTGGATTTGCCAAGACATTGAGTTCCCGTGTGATGCTCTATACCTGATTCTAACCCATGTTTAACCAGACAGCCTCATGGGCTTTGTGCATTTTCTTTTCTTTTTCCACTTCTTTTTTTTTTCTTTTCCTTTCTTTCTCTCTTTTTTTCCCCCTTCCTCTCTCTCTCTCTCTCTCTCTTTTTTTTAAAATTTCACCCTGGAATGTTCCCTGCCTTGCATCTCCTTGTCTTAATCCCCGGTTGTCAGGGTCACTTTTCCTCCTGACCAGGGGGAGCAGGTTTGCTCACTGAGAATGCTGCTCTGTCTGTGGCCTGGTGTGGATGCTGTGGCCTTCTCTCGCTCAGTCTAACCCCTTAGGAGAGGTGGGGTAGGAACGGCTTTGCCAGGAAGGAGAGCAGAGGGCAGCCCTCTGCTCTTTGGACAGTAAGGGAAAGTGCTCTGCCCACAGATGGGACCAGGCCTGGATCTGGTGGCTCTCTGTGGCTCCCCACTTAGGCTGAGCAAAGTGGCAAGCATGCTACTGGCACTTCTATAAAGTGACTGCGTGGGAGCGTGGCCCACCACTAAAGAGAATTCCTTGATGCTAGTTTGCATGTCTCTCTGAAGGCGGCGTCAGGCCCGAGATAACTTTCTTGGGGAAAAGCTTTCGCGGTTAGACTGTGTGTGCCTGTCAACAGACAGGAACCCCCAATGAAAAGATCTGAGAGTATGAAGAATTGGCAGTGACAGCTTCTTGGCCTCTGCCTCCACATGGATCTTGGGGCTAATGGGCCTTTTTAAATGGCTTTCTTAAATGCGTAAGTGTGTGGAATTTTCACTACATTGATTGAAACAGTACTTCAGTGAAATAATCAAAGAAATACTTAACAGACTGCTTTGATAATGCCACAACACAAGGTTTTAAAATTCTTTTGTCCATTTTAACATTTAGATATTGATAACTTGCATATTTGGGGAATTAGGTGATTATTGCATCATTAATTTATTGTGTAAGAGGTTCTGTGACAGTTTTTTTTCACAGACTAGTAATCCAGGAAACAGTTTCACTAACCTCCATGTGATGGAAAGTGATGGCTTGAACTATTCAAACAGACACATGCAGGCTGAGACTACAGAGCTTCTTGGCCCGAGTTTCCTGGGTTAGTGACAGAATCTAGTAATTGTTTCAAAATTCTTTGATAGTTAGGAGAGATGCAAGCTCTGAGCTGCCTGCCCTCTCAAAACTTGGTCTTTTGTATTTTAAGGGGTTGAGTTTTCTGTCGTCCATCGTGAAATTAGTCTGGGGTCATCACATTTCCATCTCTGCTGATGTAACACATTTTTGTCAGGTCTTGATAAGATTAGTACATTTGAGGTGGTTATCAGATTGTCACTTATATTTCACTGGGGCTACCAAGCCCAGCAGATGGGAAGGAAATGCTTAGATGCTTGTCATGGTCTCCTAGGCCTTTGAGTCTAGTGTAGTACTTGAGCTGAAAAGAACTTGGAGGTTTAAGAAGATAACTAGATTACATATTAGAAAAATATTACATATTACAAAAGATGTAATATTACATATTACAAAAAAAAGACTGCATATTACAAAAGGAATTAGAGACCTTTTTCCAGAGCATCAGTAAAGAAGATAAGAACTCAGATCTTTCCTCCAGAAAGTTTCATTCAAACACTTGTATTTTAAGAACATCTCTTAAACAAAACCTTAATGTCATTGCTTTACTCCTCTGCATTGTCGATAATGGCTAGATTGTGTTTATCCAAACTGCAGTCTTTTGGGTCATTCGTTCACTCAACACTTCTATCAAATATCTCCTGAGCACCTAGGAGGCAGATTGGCAAAGTGAACAGAAAAAAGACTTTGGTGTCACTGCTTCTTGGGTCCAAATCTCAGACCTGCAATTAGCTACCTACAACTCGACCAAGTTACTTCACCTCTCTGAGCAAGGTCACCACTTGCAAAATGGAAACATTCATGATATCTACCTGTGAGGGTTGTGGTGAGGGTAAATAAGATTATGTATGTGAATGCCCTGGCCAGGGCTGGCAACAGTAAGCACTCAGTAAGTGTCTGCTAAATGAATGAGAGGGACTGGGTAAGACCATGAAAAGCAAAGCTCTAGCATTTACTGCCCTCCCCAGACTCTGTGCTCATTTGCATTGTACTTTTCCTGAGCCCAGGCCATGCAGAGTGGTCTAGGGGGACTTGGATATGCTATGACCATTTCACTGCAACAGAAAATGGTTTGGCCTTAAGGATTCAGATCACAAGATAGAAGAGTGCCAGCTTGTTTGGGAAAAAGCAAACAAGGTTGTTGGCTAAAAATGAGTGAGTGAGGTAGACAGCCATGGTAGAGGTTGCAGAGGTAATGGAGAGGGACAGATCGTGCTGGGTATTGTGGGTTGTTGCAAGGACTTTGACTTTTGCTCTAAGCAACCCCCTCAGAGGGTTTTTGGCAAATGAGTGGTGTGATCTGGCTCATGTTTTAAGGGGATTATTTTGGTGCTGTGTTAAGAATAGATTATACCAGGGCAAGGACAGAAACACAAAAACTAGTTAAGAGACGATTGCAGTAATCCAGGCAAGATATTGATTACTTGGACCAGGATGGGCCACAGTAGGAGAGGGAGAAGTGGTCAAGTCTAGATGTATTTTGAAAGTACAGCCAACAGGACTTCCTGACAGAATAAATGAGTTGTCAGGGGAAGAATTTAAGAATGACTCTAGGGTTTTTTGCTTATAAAAATGTTGGAAGTTCAGTGTCCTATATGGTGACTTTATACATCTGTTAGACAATCAGAGATGTCTAGTAAGCAGTTGGATATATGAGCATGCAGTTTGGGAGAGAAGACTGACCTAAGATAGACCTTTGGGCATTACCAGCACATGGGTGGTATTTAAAATTATGAAACTATGAGATAAGATCACCATGGTAGAGATGCAAATAGAGAAGACTGGGGACTGAGCCTGAGCACATCATCATGAATGCTGGGGAAAGGAGGAAGAAACAGCAAATCAAGGAGAAACCATTGAAGTTGGAGAAAAGCCAAGTGTGTGTGTGAGGCTGGGGCGGGGGGTGGGCGGGCGGGCAAGGCAATGAAGAAAGATTTCAAGTAGGAAAAAATGACTCAAATGCTACTGATAGGTCCAATAAGATGAGAACCAAGAAGTGATCATTGGATTTATCAAGAGAGATCTTATGAGAATGGACCCTTCATTGATCTCTTGGGGTGGTCCTTGCTGCTAAAAGAAACCAACCCACAAAAAAGTTTGGTTTTGCCTAATGTAAAGTCCAGAACAGGCGTCCCTGATTGACATGTGACATTCTTCTAAGCAGTCATTCATTAACCCAGGCTCTTTCTGTCTCCTGTCTCTGCCGTCTTCACCACATGTAGCCCAAAGTGACCAGACTTGTCAAACCACAGGAAGGAGAAAGAGATGGGGGAGGTCTTCTTGGGAATATTTCATGGGCAGATAACCTTCATTCACACCCCATTGGCTAGAACTGTGTCACATGGCCACATCTAATAGCAAGGGAAGTGGTAGATCTCGCTGTGTGCCCAGGAAGAAGAGGAAACAGAGAGTCAGAGGAGACACAGGCAGAAAGCACCTTGCCAACTACCACTAAATAAAATAACTACCACTGGGGAAAAAAGAGATCTTAGAGATCAACTGGAAGTGCTTCACACATGATAGGCATTTAAGGGATGAAGACAGTTGAGTTACTGATTCCAATGAGATAAGAGGCAATAAACTAGCTCTAAGCTTGGTTTTGAATGTATATTGACTTTGAGAAGGTGCTTGCACATTGAGATGAAGAAAATGATGCATTAAAAAATAGATAGAACCATGCAGGTTGTTGAAGGAAGGGATTAAGATGAGGCTAAGTGTAGGAGGCATAAACTATGCCCTAATTTAATAAGAATCAACCTATTTTTATCCATTTATACAGAGGAGAGAGTGCCTTTTAGTGACTGCAGAAGTTAAATGAGATCTCATAGGATGTTTGAGCTGGGCCTCGTCCTCCATGAGATAAGAGAGGTATGGGTTGGGACCATTGAGAGTCTATGAGGCACCATTTTGGATAGCATCAAGGTGTTTTAGACGAGAGGGAAGAATCTGCTTTCAGTACCTGGCTCTCTTTTTAAGGCTTCTCAGGGGTCTGATGACTGAGAGCAAGAATGTGCAGGTTCTTCATCATGAGTCTGTGAGACCAAGGTATTGGCTGTCACAGATTATACACAAGTCTTAGTCAACTTTGTTTTGGCCGTTACAAGCAATTCCAAATGCAGCATGCCTGGAGCCTGCCTTAGCACTTCTGAGTTTTCTTTCTGTGTCAAGTCTTCTATAGAAAAAGTAAATCTTCCAGGAAAAGAACCATCCAGGTTTTCTTAAGAGCCCACAGAATTATGCTGTGTAGAGGTCAGTGTCACCTCCATTGCCCCAGACTGACTTTCTAACCATTTTCTACTCTTCGCTGGTGGACTTTGACCTGGGAAAAAACTATGTGCTGCAGTTACAGATGAAAGGAGCTTGTTTTCATTCAAACTGTTGGTAATACTTGATTTTTCTTAGCATGCTTTACATTTGGGTTTGAAAGCATGCAACCTTTGCTAGCCTCATCCGAGGTAAAAACTCAGAAACTTTGGGTTGCAAAAATTATT